CATTAGCCAGCTTTGTTCACTCTTTTGGGGATTCTCCCAAAGTGCGAATATCGTCTCCTTTCCAGAATAGCTTTGGGCAAGACTAAAAAATGGGCCTCCTGGGTAGACATCAGTAGAGCTTCCTTTATTCAGAAATGAAGTAGATAAAGATTTCTCAATCCGTTAAGTCTAGTTATGCACCAGAGCTCTTCGAAGCACTGCTCCTTCTCTGAAAAGACTGGAAGACTGAGGGCCTTCCCCAGACTAGAAGGCAGATGGGAGTTTCAGTATTTTCTGATACTTATCATTGGCATCAGCACACTGACATCACAAGGTCACAATGACTGTCATCAGATGGCAAGGCTGGGATTTCTACAGTGTGTAGGAGGTAGACATGTGGACTTCACGGTTGCTTCTAGTTTTACCATTATAAGATGTGTCCTAGGCACCCAGTAAGGGGTGTGTATGGGGAGGATCCTCCACTGAGTAGCACTCACCCTTCCATTTGCCAAAGGCACATCTACAATGAGTCTACGTAATGACCTTTAAGACCACATATGGCCCCCAGCGGGGAAGAGGCCCATTCCTTCTCTTCAGTAATAGGTTGTGTTTGCAGGGCAGACACCTTCATCACACGGGGTCTATTGCAACTGGAGGGGTGGCCAGATGTGAAACAGGGCTGCATAGAGAGCCTTAATCTGCACCAGGCCAATGAGGGGTGACCCGGCTTGTGTTCTGTGAATACAGTGGAGGACAGGCCCATTAGTTACAGGCCAGAGGGCACCCGTCTGAGACTGCAGTGGTTCATCTAACATCATGCATTGTTTGAATCACCTCTGAATTACTCTGTGCTTCCACAGATTGCTCATTAAGACTTTCCTGTCATTCCTGAGCTGCAGTGTTCCCTCTTCTCTGAAAATTCTCCAAGCACAGATGCTGTGCCTAGGACAGTACAGGGTGCACAGAAAGCATTCAGTAAGTAAGAGTTTATGCAAAGGGAAACAAAAAAACTTTTGGAGGTATGGCTACATCTATTACCTTGATGGTTTTACAGGTGTATACGCATGTCCAAACTTAGCAGATCATATATGTTAAATATGTGCCACTTATTATTTATCAATTATACCTCAATAAACCTGCTTTTAAAAATTTTAAAAAAAAAGTGAATACACAGGAGCTTATGTGCTCACTTCCTTAATTAGATGGCGAACTGCTCCAGAGAGAACTTCTGGCCTACCCCCCCTTTTGGGGGCTCATGACAGCTGTTCAACATTGATTATTAAATGAATGAGTGACTTGCTTTATGAATTATCTGTGGAACGGAGGCCCTACTCCCTAGAGGCTTAATTGGGAGACAGCATGGTCCACTCCCCAGCACCTCCAAGATGGGGAATGTGGGGGGTCACCACAGGTGTCAGGGGAAGAAGTGAGAGGCAGCTTCACTCCCCAAGGCCAGCTGGTAAATGGGGAACACCAACCCATTTTCAAGCCCTTGGGAACAAGCTGTCACCCTGCAAGGCCAGGGGCGAGACTGCGCCCACCTCTTTTACAAAAATAGAGGCTGAACTATCACCAGACTCCTCTGATTGCCAAGAGCTTCCCAGATCTGGAATTAGAGGCCTCCGCCAACCAGCCTCCCACCAGAAGGAAGACTAAGACTTGGCTCAGACGGTAACTATTTCCTCAAGCCCTTGTTTAGATGTGGATCCACACTCACAGCCCTTATTCCAAACCATCACGCTCTTCACCCCCTTCCAAAGTCACCAAATAAGTCAAAGGCTGAGGCACTCAGCTCTGAGCAGATATTTTAAATTAATCTTAAAGCAACTTAAAAGGACTGTTTTTCTACCCTGTCCAGCACTCGGCACATTTTCAGTGGCAGCTGGGTCAAGCTTGAGTGGCATTTTCACCACTGACTCAACCTCAAAATATTCCTGGGCTGCCCTCGTCCCATCCTCCTTTTTGTTCCCTTGTTTTGAATATTCTCTGCCTCTCTCCCCACCCCTCTACTCACATGCACATGCATGAACATACACACGTGCACATTCGCACACTCCCCCACACTCCTTTTTAAGGTATGAGCACATCACACAACAGGCATTCTAAACCTTGGGTTCATGGACAGAATTCAGGGATCATATACTTGGATAGGAAAAAAATCATATCTTTATTTTCACTAACTAACTGAAATATAGCATTCTCTTCCATTATGAACATAGTCAACAAACTGCATTAGTGTTAGCAATGCGGTGTCTTTGACTATAATAGAAACACACACATTTTCATATCATATCAGGGTTGTTGTCCTGGAACATCATTTATTTATGTTCATCACTGCTTCAGGATTATAATAGTTAAATTATACTTCAAGTAGATCTTATTAGCATGTTAATTTAAAAGTACATATAATGCTGCTATTTTTAAAATGTAATCACTGTATTTCTTTATTTTATTTTTAACATGTAATTTAGATTCAGGGGATATTTTGTGCAGGTTTATTACCTGGGTATAATCCTATCACCCAGGTACGGGTATAGTACCCAATAGTTAGTTTTTCAACCCTTAGGCCCCTCTCTCTCCTTACCGCCTCTAGTAGTCCCCAGTTTCTATGTTGCCGTCTTTAAGTCCATGAGTATCCAATGATTACCTCCCACTTATAAGTGAGAACGTGTGGTATTTAGTTTTCTGTTCCTGCAAATAACCGTGTTTAAGTAATTGCTTTCCAAGCCTATGTATATTTTTTGTACATTTACAAATGTTATTCTGAGAAGGGGTCCGTATGCTTCACCAGACCAAAAGAGTCCATGGCACAGAAAGAGCCCCTGCTATGGAATGAGCATTAAAAGGTAGGATTTGGGATTTTTCTCTAGGGCCATCAGGCATGCGCCAGGAGACTTAGGGGCTAACAGGTGGTGTTCAGTGGTAACAGGAAGTAGGTTCTGGGAGCAGAGGGACAACAGGGTTATTGGATAAGAGCTTGGATGGGCTTTGGAGACAGACTAAGACAGTGGCCCTGGCTAACCAATAGTATGACCTCGGGCCAGCCACTTCACCTCTCCGAGTTTCCAGTTCTTCAATTGTAAAATAGTAATTATCATATACTATACAATTCTTAGGAGCATGGATTGAGAGAATCTATGTGTAACAGCAATTACTGCCCTGTTGAATGGAACGTGGCAGGCCCTAGAAGGGCAGTGTCCTTGACCTGGGAACTTCTGGAGCTATGGTATGCTATTTGCTTGGTTTTTCAGACAGGCACTATCTGTGCCCTATTCAGGCTTCCCATGTCCTTGAGCCTCAGGGATACCATGAAGTGCTCCAAACTCTAAAACATGCCTAGGCAGACCTAAGTCCTCCACCTCCCTTTCTGTCCCTTGCTCACTGAAACAGGCACGCAGGCCAGGCTGCAAACCAGATTCCCTGCCCCAGAGCAAAACAGGCCTCAAGAAAAAAGAGATGTTCCAGATCTTTCCAAAACTGGCAATAGAGCCAAAGTACCTGATTCTGGCTTCACAGAACAGCTGGCTCCTGCCCTGGCATCTCATCACTCGGTGAGCAATGCAGGAATTCTGAGATCTAAGCTGCCCTTCCCAGAGCAGCCCAGGCCAGGGTCAGACTCAGGCTGCCAGGCCACTGGGCAAAGAGCCCCAAGAAAGGTCAGAAGTTCCCAAAATTTGCTTAAATCATATTCAAAAGGTATATAAAAAGGGATATGCTATAGAAAGTGATATGCATTAAAAAAAGGCATATACTAATTTTTTTTACTATATGTTATAAAAAATTAGAAAGCCTTATAAAATTATACAGAGAAATTAAAATCAACCATAATTCTGCCCCAAGGAAGCAAAACTATTAACATTCTGGTAAATTTTCTTGCAGTTATATTTAGTACATAAATTGGGATCACACTTATACAGAGAGTTTAAGATCTCGATTTCATCATTTAAAAATACCTAGAGACATTTTTCAATATGAGCTCTTAAAAGACAGAAAACCATCACATCAGACATTGTAAAATTCACAGGTTACTGAGAGATGTCATGGCATCCCTAAGAACAGTATTGTCCATTTAAATATAAGTTACATCCAGAAAACTGACAGGAGGAGAGCCTACTGTCTTCTTCTTAAAGGATATATAATAGTAAACTCTTCTTTCTTCTCTTTAGCTTAAAGAGAATCTAGGGAAGATACCCTTGGATCCTCAGCAAAGAGGCACTATATGCAATTTTCCTTTTTTACATTCTCTTATCTTACTTTCCCCTGATAAGGGGAAAGCTTTGAAAATTCACTGCTGGAAAAAATGGTGTCTTACTCAAGAAAGTGCTTAGCAGCTAAAGAGAAACCTCTGGAAACAAGTGGGTATAGCAGGAAGAGCCCTGGACTTGGAAACAGAAAAATGCTGGATTCAGATGTCAGCTCTGTCACTGTAGACCCAAGATCAAAGAACATCCATTTCCCTGCATGTCAAGAGAGATGCCACCACTCAACCCGTAAGGATCAAAGGATTACGCGGATTAAATAAGACTGTGTGAAAAGTGGTTTGTCAATGGTAAAATACATTGCAGGGCCATAATCACTAGTTAATATTATAGTGGCTGTTAACAGTACTGTTTTTGTTCCTTAGCTGGCTTGAGCAACTCATTACAGGCACTCGGGGCAGCTTCTAACGGTAGGTAAAAGCATGGACCCTGGAGCCAGACTGCACTTCCCAGCTTGGTGAATTCTTTAACCTCTCAGTTTCTTCATCTATCAAATGTGATTATAATAGTATGCCTATCTCTTAGGACTCTTGAAAGGATTAAAATGAGTAAATTTACACAAAGTGCTTAGAACAATACTGGGCACATAATAAATACTATATAAGGGTGAGCTTAAAAAAAAAAAATTACACTAGCTAAAATTAGTAGGCACACTGTTTTAAAGCTTTCCAGAAAAGTACTACCATTAATCAGAAAGTTGGATGAGCAACCTCTGCTCCCTCACTCCCATCCCAGCTCAGGTTTGGCCTGTTCCCTTCCTACCTTCTCAGCATCCTGCTCAAAGAGCCGCAGCTGAAAGCACTGGTCCAGCTTGAGCTTGCGCACGTGCCACATCTGGTGCAGGTGCTGCCGGGTGGAGTGCAGTTTGTCCAGGAGGCTGGTGATCTTGGGCACCAGGCTCTGGAAGTCAGCACTGCCCGGGATGCAGTTGCGTCCTGAGAAGCCGTCGCTGCAGCGGATGCACTGCAGCAGCCGCTGCCCCTCTCGGTCCAGCTCCTCCACAGGGGCCTTCAGCACCTTTTTCTTGAGCTGTGTGTGCTCATCAATAAGCCGCCGAGAGCCCTCCACATCCACGGGAAACTCCTTCCGGGCTAGCATCTCCTGGAGGTCCTCGAGGCGTGAGAGCAGGTGCACGGCGCTGTTGAAGAACTCCTCCAGGGAGAGCCGCAGTTCGATCCACTCCTCGTGGTTGTAGTCCAGGGAGCCGTCAAACTCCTCCGTCAGCTGGGAGGGGTCCACCAGTTTCGTGAGGCCCTCCACAGATACCATGCTCGTCTGGAAGGGGCAGACACAGACAAGGATACTCAGTGATGTTGGGGGAAGAACAGGGCAGAAATAGGATGAGGGAAAAGGACAAGGTAAGTCCACATAATAATGACCACAGCCTGCCTCAGAAAGGGTGATGGGGCGCCATGGGACTCACTGGTCAGGAGTCACAGATCAGCTGGGATCAGCAGTTTCTACAGACTGCTGACTGCTTTAGCGAGCCTCTCCAACTGCCCCCCATTTACCATCCCAGAAGAACTGCCTTTGTGTCCCTGCTCTCCTCATTTTCCCTCCTCCTGACCCCAAGTTCACTTCAATAGGGTTTCAGATGCTAGAAGCAGAAGCTGGAAGAAAAACTGACCTAGTTTCTGGGGGACAGTTTTCTACAGCTTTAAAACCAAGGCCCGTGGACCCAGGGTATCATCATAGTTGGATTAAGCAACGTGGGCCAGTGCTTGGAATGCAAAGATTTCATAGTCTTATCTTTTCCGAGGCTCTCCCTGTCAGCTCTTCTGTGGTATGGTGAACAGAACTAGGGATGGGCAACAGGGGAGTCTGGGTCCTTGGTTTTCTCTGTGAATTCCCTACAAGCTCCTGGAGAGCACAGTGGAGAATGTTTGTCTCCAGGAAGCAAAGTGTCTCCAGCAAATGGTGATGCAGGCAACCACCCTAGTTTATTAGTAAACATCTTTTCCATCCGACAGGGCTTTAGGCTTCTCTTCTTTCTCATGAAGAATGAGAGGCTAGCAAATTAATATCTGGGTTTGGGTTCCAGCCCTACGCTTACTAACTGTGTGACCCAGGGCAAGCTATTAAGGTCTCAGAGCCTCAGTCTCCTCCTCTGAATAATGGAGACAATAATTCCTTCCTTAAGGGGCTTGCAGAGATTAAACATATCAATGTGTGTAAAGTACATGGGGTGCACAGCATGGAGTACATGCTCAATCCCTGTTAGTGCTCACTCTGATGACCTGAAGGCTGGATCATTACTCAAAACCTGAAAAGCAATTTATCTCTGTGTCTTGCTACTCTGAGCATTCCCTCTTTGTCCCTTCTCTTTCCACCCCTCTCCTAAGAGGAAGGAAGGAGTTGCCACAGGCAGGAGGGCTGGTCTGGAACAACGGTTGTCAAACTTGACTGCTCATTAGAATCCTTTGGGGAGTGTGCAAAAACACCAATGCTCAAACTTCATCCCTAGAAATTCTGATTTAATTGGCTAAATGGGAGCTTGGACATGAGTAGGTTTAAGAGTCCCTCAGGTGATTCTAATGTGCAACTAGAGTTGCAAACTCCTGCTAATCTCCATCCTTGCTACTCAAAGCATAGCTCTCAGACCAGCAGTATTGGCATCACATGGGAGCTTGTTAGAAATGCAGAATCTTAGGCCTTACCCCAGACCTACTGAAGCAGAATCTGCACTTTCAAAATCCCCAGGAGATTTGTGTGCATTAAACTTGAAAAACCCTATTCCAAAGTACCTTCTCCTTCAAATTTGGCTCAAAGTTTACCACTTCCAGGAAGTCCTCCATAATTATACTTACCAATTATGTATAAGCATCTGTTGTTGAACAAGCTTATACTCTCATCTCTGTATCACTTGTCACCCTACTCTGCACTAAGTATGAAATTCACTGTTTTTAAGATACTGCCTTATAAATATTCCTTTGATTGGGAGGCCCCCAGCTATCTTTCCTATACCTCTTATTTAGGAGACAGAGACAAAGCCTGCTCAACTTAGAGTGAAAGAGGTGCAGAGAGATGGGACATGCAGGCCAGCAATGCTGAAGCGTAAGTATCAAGACTTACTGAAAAGATTATTTTCAGTCTCTTCAGCTTATACATTTATAGGCTTGTTGTCACCACCTCTGTATAAACAAGCCAAAATATAAAAAGCATTTCCCTACAGGTCTCCTACTGTTCCCGAGGGGTGCTGGGAGACTATAATAGGTCACTGTTTTTATACCAAGCCAAATTTCTTGTATTGTTTACACAGAGTGAGAATCGCCTACATCAAGGGTCAGGTCATTGTGCTCAAATCACAGCCTATTTGACACCACACACAGGCGCTCCTGGCCCCCAGGGCACAAAAGTCTGGAATGGGAAGCTGCTGAAAGATTAAAAGCAGCTCTGCGTTTTCAACACACACACATTTAAAAGCTCATCCCCTTGCAAATGAGGACTAGAATTCCAAGGAAGGGAACAGTTCAAATTTGGCTGGAACACAGACACTTAAATAATTGATTTAATCTGATGTATTGTCATTTAAAATTCTCAGGGGAAACATATAGCCTCTAGAAAATTTAGTTTGAAAACATGTTTTCCTTGATTATGAAAGTAATACATCATCCTTGAAAAAATAAAAATATATGAAGTAAATAAAAACCACCCATTGTCCCGTCACCTAGAATAAACCATCACTAACATCTTCAATCTCAGTTTTCTTTTCCATACATACACTTTAAAAACAAATCTCAGATTATACTATCCATATTGTTTCATCACCTGCATTTTAGTAAACAATAAATATTTTAATACTACTTTTTCTAAATATGGTTTTTCATGGCTTCATAGTATTTGGGTTGTTTGTTTTGTTTTTTTTGTTTTTGTTTTTGAGGAGTTTCACTCTGTCACCCAGGCTGGAGTGCCATGGTGCAATCTCAGCTCACTGCAACCTCCGCCTCCCGGGTTCAAGAGATTCTCCTGCCTCAGCCTCTTTGAGTAGCTTGGATTACAGGTGCACACCACCACACCCGGCTAATTTTGTATTTTTAGTAGAGACGGGGTTTTGCCATGTTGGCCAGGCTGGTCTCGAACTCCTGACATCAAGTGATCCGCCCTCCTCAGCCTTCCAAAGTGCTGGGATTACAGTACAGGCATGAATCACCACACCCAGCCAATATTTGTGTATTAATGTCACCAACATTAATGTCTAGCAAGGACACAACCTATGTATGTGTATGTATATGTACTATATATGTATAAATATGCACATGTGTATATATACTATTGTATAGGAACATATGAGCTGTGATGAACATTCTTGTAGACATTTCTTGTTTGCAATTTTACCTGGCTTTTTACCTTCTTGTTTGTTGAAATTTTGTATTAAGAATATTTTCTAAGCCTGTAATCCCAGCACTTTGGGAGGCTGAGCCGGGCGGATCACGGGGTCAGGAGATCGAGACTATCCTGGCTAACATGGTGAAACCCCCTCTCTACTAAAAAATACAAAAAACTAGCCGGGCGAGGTGGTGGGCACCTGTAGTCCCAGCTACTCGGGAGGCTGAGGCAGGAGAATGGTGTAAACCCGGGAGGCGGAGCTTGCAGTGAGCTGAGATCCGGCCACTGCATTCCAGCCTGGGCAACAGAGCGAGACTCTGTCTCAAAAAAAAAAAAAGAATATTTTCTTAAAATAGGCTGGGCACAGTGGCTCATGCCTGTAATCCCAGCACTTTGGGAGGCTGAGGTGGGCAGATCACCTGAGGTAAGGAGTTCGAGACCAGCCAGGTCAACATGGTGAAACCCCCGTCTCTACTAAAAATACAAAATTTAACTAGGCATGGTGGCAGGTGCCTGTAATCTCAGCTACTCAGGAGGCTGAGGCAGGAGAATCACTTGAACCCAGGAGGCAGAGGCTGCAGTGAGCTGAGATCATGCCACTGCACTCTAGCCTGGATAACAGAGTGAGATTCTATCTCAAAAAAAAAAAAGAATATTTTCCTAAATTAGTTACTAGATACAGAAATACAGGTAAATAGAAGGAATAAGTTCTAGTATTCAATAGCACAGTAGAGGAATTGTAGTTAACAATCATTTATGATATATTTCAAAAGCTAGAAGAGAAGAATTGTAACGTTTCTAGCACAAAGAAATGATAAATGTTTGAGGTGATGGATATCCCATTTACTCTGATTTGAGCATTATACGTTGTATACAGGCATCAAAATGTCACATGTACCCAAAAATATGTACAACTATGATACAGCAATAAAAAAAGAATTGCTACATCAAAGGACATAAACTCTTTCTAAGGTTTTTGATACAAATTGCAAAGTTGCCTGCAGAAATAGTTGTCCCAATTACACAACCAACAACAGTAAATAAGACTGTGTAATGAAGGTGTGCATTTGGGACAATCTTGTGAGCCTGTTGTTCCTCCCCATACTCTAACTGGTAAGGCCATGGTGGCCAAGGAATCCTGAAATCTCAGCCCTTGAGGTGTCACATACTGTATGGTAGATGGAGAAGAGGAAATGAGGAATGTGTGGATGGCAGAAGGGGAAGGGAAAGAAGATGCTAAGAGAGAGAAATCTGGCTCACCTCAAAGATGAATTTAGAGCTGCCAAAGTTGGTCTTCTGTTTCTGCCAGAAGTTGTCAGGTTTAATGATGAGGGCCACATGGATCTCAGCTGGAAAGGCTTCCTGCAGCGTTTTGAGGAGGGGCTTGATGAGGTCCCACTTGGAGCCCCGCATGTCGATGATGACAGTGAAGCCACGTTTGCACACGTCCTCACTGTGGGGAGGTCAAAGGTCAGTATGGTCACTCTGGGTAGCTGAGACTTTGGAGTACACAGTCAAAAAGCACCCGGAAACCTGCACTCCCTCTGACCAGAATCACTCTTCCAACTTCATGTCAGGTCTCTTGGCCACCTTCAAACCCAGCTCAAACTGTATGCCTCAGAAAAATCCTTTCTGCATTTGACCAATGGTCCTGGCATTCTGCCTTCTCCCAGCATTTGGCAAATAACGAGGCCTTCCTTTTGCAAGCTGAGTATCCCTAATCTGAAAATCCAAAATCTGAAGTGCTCCAAAACTTGAAACTTTAAGAGGGTCAACATGATGCTCAAAGGAAATGATCGTTGCAGCATTTCAGAGTTTGGATTTTCAGATTAGTGATACTCACCCGGCAAGCAGAATGCAAACATTCAAAAAAAAAAAAAAAAAAATTTTTAGACTTGGGCCCCATCCCTAAGATTTTTCATATTATATATATGTACAAATAAAAAAAAAAAAAAAAAATCTGAAGTCCAAAACACTTCTGGTCCCAAGCATTTTGGATAGGAGCTACCCAACCTGTAGTCAATTGCACTTGTTGGGATGTTTACAATTTGGATATTCACAATTGTATTTTATTTTCATTTTAATTTTTGTCTCACTTTCTTGTTCCTAAAATGAATCATGTTTTCCCCATTGATATTCCAGTTCTCTAAAGACAGAGACCCTGTCGCCTCTTAAATCTGAGATGGAAAGTCCTTGACAGGAGTGTTGTTCTGCCCTGGGCCTACATCAGTGACAGACACTAGTACATCTTACCACTGAGCCCAAACTGGGCCAAAGAATACTTTTTCAAAAAAGGGCTCTAGGTTGATTCTGCCAGTTGATGAGAGATGGTACACAAAGTATTAATAACATGACTTTACCACCATTGTATTTAAGATGTACTACTTTTAGCTTATTATTATTTTTCACTTTTTTTAAGAGTCAGGGTCTCGCTATGTGCATCGGCTGGAGTGCAGTGGCTATTCTCAGGCACAGTCACAGTGCACTATAGTCTCAAAACTCCTGGCTTCAAATGATCCCTCTGCCTCAGTCTTCCCGGTAGCTGGGACTACAGCCTTGCGCCACCATGCCCAGCTTTGTGGTTTAAAATGTATGTCAACTTAAAAAATCAGGTCGCTGAGTCATGCTGATCACTCAGAAACAGCCCAGAGTGGAACTGACTGCAACGGAAGATGCAGACCAGTTGTTTCATGTATTTCCATTGTAAGAGTCACAGTGTGAAATGCATGTATCAGGATGTTAAGGGAGGATGAGGGAGGAGTAACTCTTGAAATCAAGGCAAGATGAAGTGACAGTGACCATCTTGAAAACCAAGACATCAGCAGGCTAAATAAATCAAGATGTTGTTATATAAGTTAGCAGCAAAGTTTAAACACTTGAACTTTGACTATAACTCCTGAGAATAGGAAGAAAAAAAATGAAGGTCAGAATAGTTATAATATCTCAGTTTGGAAGAAAGTCTATGTTTGAGTAATTAGGGGTCTTCTCTTATTTTTTTTAAAGCCAATCCGTTTATTTTATAATTCAAAATAGACATTGATTACTTCATATTTTAAAATATAAATACCAGCATAGTATTTCCTTATGGTCTTTCACTTAATTTCCCATTTCCCAGACTGCAGTTGTTTAAACCACTATGTACGTTACATGACCCACATATGTGCCTACCACATATCAGTTGCTCACAGCTGCTGGCAGTAAGGCCACAGAAGGATTCAGGTCACAAAAAGAAATTAAAACCTTTTGAGGGGACTTTATTCTCAAATTTCAACCAGTGATGAGATTGTTACAGCCTCATTAAGAGACCACAGCTCTTGACTGTGTGCGTGTCTCAAGCACAAGGTAGATTACTTAGGCGTCCCTGGTACACAGAAAATTCCCCAGGAGAGGGGACTCTCTCCAGCATGAGAGAAAGGATGAGTATTCTCCCCAAATCCTGCATCCCAAAGGAAAGGAGTTGCCTCTTCTTCCCTGACATTTATTGAAACAATGAGTGGCCAAAGTTTTCCATAAATAATTTTCTCTATCCTCTTGTCTTAAAGCAATGTGACTTTTTTCCAAATTACAGGATTTCTTTCCCATTATAAGAGAAACACCTGATAACTACACAAAAGTTAAAGTAGTCAGAGACCCATGCAAGAGATGCTAATGGTAGGACTTTATAACACCCAGGCCTATATCCTTTCTACCTTTTCTGTGCATATAGTTTTTATACCATGTACTGTTCTACTTTTCACTGTAACACAGTTTTTTCTCATGTCTAAAATTTCTTCCAATCTGTTGCACTTAGTGATAGTCCATCTTATGCCTATACCATAACTTATTTGATCATTCTCTTGATTGCTTTACAGAAAGGTATGTCAACTTACAAGTCCACCAGCAGTGTATGACAGTACCCCCCTTACTCTATCCTCACCAGCACTGGTCATTGAATTTTTTAAACCTTTGCCTGTTTTATTAAAAATACATTGTATTATATTTAAATGTGCATTTATTTGATTACTAGTTACAGCTTTTTGGCCTGTAAATATTTCTTCTGTGAATTACCTGATCAACTCTTTTATCCATCTTTCTATTAGGGATTAGAGGCTTTCTTTTGGGATTTAGGGGTTTTATCACTGAACATCATTTAGTGTAGCTTGACTTATATTTGTTGCATGCCCACCTATGTCAGGTTCAGCAACGTTAACTGTGGGTCTTGCCTTTCCTTAGAGATGATTGTCTTCCTTATTTCCCTGCTCCTCAGACTCCATCTGTGTTGCCACAATTTATGCTGACCTGAGAATTCTTTGTTCCTAACAACAAATATTCTGTGTTGCTACCGAGAGCTGGAGGTCAACAATCCCTGCATCTAAAGCTGGTGGTCAGTAGCAGGTTATGCCCTGTTAACTAATCATTTCTGACAACTAAGAGTAGAAATTAGGTCCTAATATTCTATAGGAGGTTCTCAATAACTCAGGAGATGGAGAAAGAAGCCCAGGAGCTGAGGGCTGTGACCTAATCCAATTGGCATCTTTCTGTGAAAAACAGGCTAATCTTCCAAGGTGCTTTGTGTGTTTGGTTTCAAGTAAGGGGCATAGCTGGGAAAGGGGAAACAACTATTTTACTGCGTGCTCATTCTATGCTGGGGCTATAGTTCGGTATTTGCCATACATCATTTCATTATATCCTAATAGTAACTTCATAAACTAGGTATGGTTATCTCCATGTGAGAGAAGATGAAATTGAGGCATAAAATTTGCCTAAGATTACATAACTAGTAAGTGGCTAAGCAAAAATTCAAAATGAGGACTGTTGACTTGAAAACCCAAGCTCAGGCTGGGCACGGTGGCTCATGCATATAATCCCAGCACTTTGGGAGGCTGAGGCGGGCAGATCACTTGAGGTCAGGAGTTCGAGACCAGCCTAGCCAACATGGTAGAACTCTGTCTCTACTCAAAAAAAACAACAACAACAAAAAAGAAAACCCAAGCTCAGGTCACTATATCATACTCTACCCCACCACACTGACACTATGTATGGGTGTCTTTGTTTGGGGACAGGAGTTGGGGGCCGGAGATGAGGGGATTAAGTTAGGGGACTCAGAGGAGATGGGATAAATTAGGGCAAGGAGTCTAAGTGAGTGATCTCCCTTCTGCAGTCTGTGCAAAACCACAAAGTCAGAGAAGCAAAAGAGCGTGGCATATTGAGAAAGTTCAAGCAATTAACTCTGGTTCAGGCCTTTGAACGCAAGAGAGTGCAGCTCTGAGTGCCTTGGAGAGTCCCATTCTGGGTTCTGTCCCTCTTTTTGCACACACCCCGCTTCACCCCGGGAGCCAAGATGACTCACCCACATAGAGTCTGCGCTGCACATCCATCTTCCCCTTGTAGGTCAAGCTCCTAGTATCTGAAACCCTAACACTCTCTGCCCAAAGGACCCTTAGTCTACTTCCTGGGCCCATGGGTATCTCTTTCCAGGGTCCAATTCCCAAGGGCAAGTAACACCATCATTATGTGTACCCCTAGGCCCAAGGGGTGACAAAGGGCTGCTATTTGAAAGGATGTGGCTAGAATATAAATGTGTGAGCTGGGGTGTTCACTTGCATGCATGAGGCGCCCCTGCCATGTAGGGCTGAGCTGGGGAGTGGAGAGAGAAGGCAGGCAGAGCATGAGTGGGGGCTGGTCTACTGTGCTGCCACATTTGGGCCTGGGAGCTCAAAGGAGTCCAACAAATCTAAATTTAAATTTGGCCTTCTAGGTTGCTGTGAAGATATATTTGTCAAGGTAGAAGGACAGAACATGTTTTATTTAACAGTTTGTTAGCTTGCTACATTAATTTTAAATATTCAGACAAAGGGTATGTGAGCTTCCATTTGTACTCTTGCCTTAGGCACCACAATGTTAGAATCAGGCCTTGCAAGAGAAGAGACTGGAGAGGATGTAGACTTCAAATCAGAATGCACTTCGTATGCCAAGGCTGGAGCAGTGGATTTGTCCTAAAGGCAACGAGGAACTACTGAAGGGTAAGATTCAGAGAAGGAATGTGATCAGGTGATTTGGATTGATTACCCTCCAGCTGTGCAGAAGGAGGGTAAATTGGGGTCAGCCCAAAGGAGTGTGTAAGAGTAGAAGAAGGGTCCTTGCTAAAATGACTCTTCATGAAAGTCTTCCATGGACCACCCTATTTAAACCTGTAACTGTCACCCAATACTCCTTATACCCCTTCTGTTTATTTTTCTCCTTAGCACTTATTACCATCTGGATAATATGTTTTATTTATTTACTGTCCATCTTCCCTCACTGGAAAGTAACCTCAGTAAGGGCAGGGAGTTTTTATTCATTTCACTGTTGAATGTTCAGTGCCTACTACAGTGCCTGGTGCAAACGAGGAAGGGGAGGCAGCAGTTAAGGGTATGAAAACTAGAACCAGCTTCCTAGGCCTGAATCCTGGCCCCATCATTTACTTATTGTGGA